CCACGTAAGGAGCCAGGTTTACGGGTACTAACTCCACCGGTGCCCCTGGAGATAGTTCGTGACTACCGTGGAAATGGCGGTAGCAATGTTAACACCAGCAACAACCTGTGAAATCCTCATTAAAACTGGCTTACAGTTACTCACCCATAGAGCGATCATCTTCTGCGCGTCTGTGTGCAGAAGGCTGAGACCACGCTGGAGTCCGTCATTATTAGACGCTTTGGGGGTTATTCCTGAATGATACGCGGTGTTTTTGGGGATCCACAGACGTGCAGCGGAAAGTACGGGCTGGAGTGTGCCGTAGTTGTGCGACAGAAAGCTCCAGGATCCACCCCCGAGGGTTTCAGCGCTCAGAGAATCCACGGGAGCCAGGAGTGAAGTGTGAGGCAGTGAGGGGCTGTGAGTTCCGGGAGAAAGTAAAAGCAAGCATGTGGTGTTGGAGAGGAGAGGGTCTGAGGTTTGGAGTCGTTTGTGAAGCAGAGGCTCTGTCGTTTTGGCCGCTGATGACTCATTTACTCTCATTGTAAGTGGGAACTCTCGTCTCATGCCATGGTATTTTGGTGGAGACCTGAATTTCTCCTCCTAGGGATCAACAAAGTAATTATCTATTAGTGTGTGTGTGTCTGTCTGTCTGTCTGTCTGTCTGTCTGTCTGTCTGTCTGTCTGTCTGTCTGTCTGTCTGTCTGTCTGTCTGTCTGTCTGTCTGTGTGTCTGTGTGTCTGTGTGTCTGTCTGTCTGTCTGTGTGTCTGTCTGTCTGTCTGTCTGTCTGTCTGTCTGTCTGTCTGTCTGTCTGTCTGTCTGTCTGTCTGTCTGTCTGTCTGTCTGTCTGTCTGTCTGTCTGTCTGTCTGTCTGTCTGTCTGTCTGTCTGTGTTTCTGTCTGTCTGTCTGTCTGTCTGTGTGTCTGTCTGTCTGTCTGTCTGTCTGTCTGTCTGTGTGTCTGTCTGTCTGTCTGTCTGTCTGTCTGTCTGTCTGTCTGTCTGTCTGTCTGTCTGTCTGTGTGTCTGTCTGTCTGTCTGTCTGTCTGTCTGTCTGTATTAATGTGTGTCTGTGATGATGAGGACTGTGGTGATTATACAGGACATACAACATGTATGACATTAATCAACATGTGTTCTGTATTCTTTTTGTGTCTTACCTGTTGATTCTCTGATCTGTGTTGGTGATTTCAATGGTTTTGTCTCTGAGATGACTACTTTTGTGATTTAGGGCTGTACAAGAATAAATTGTATTGTTGCGTGTGTACACATGTGTGTGTGTGTATGTATTTGTATGTGTGTGTGTCTGAATGGTCACATTTTGAATTGTTTTGTCACAGCTAAAGATTCATTACACTCTGTCAAATTCACTTTTGTTCTTCTGTCTACTTCACATTTGTCGCCTGGTGCCTTTGTGGCTCTAAAGTTTATTTCCTTCCATGCTCCCTTTGAACACAGCTCATGAGTCTTCTTAGGAGTTAACCCTTTGTTTAGAGCTTTGTTTCATAAATTATACATGTAGTTTCAGACCACAACATGTTATCTTCATCTTTTACAGACTTCTTAGAAAGAATCCCTGGTAAAGGTGCACTTCATCTGGGTGAACTGTGTCCTCTGCATTTGACCCTGATCCTGATGCACTCTGGCCTCGGAGCAGTGGTCGCCGTGGTAACAGCGCCCGGGACCATCTCCAGATGTTGATGCTCGGCTTGGTCAGGACCGGAGCTGGAGTTTTGACCTGTTGAACATGTTTTTAGTGGTAGCGGAAACCGGAGCACCTGGAGGAAACCTACGCAGACACTATTTAATTCTTTGTGCTGAGAGCTCCATCACTAAGATCCAAAATGTTTTGTGTTTATCTGTTTTGAAGTTCATATGTCAAGAAAATAGTCTAAGAGGAATTTGATTTGATTGTTCTGTCTCAAAAATCAGTAAACGTTAAACTTGGGAATTGATTGCACAATAAATTGATAAATAAAATAATTTCACCTTGTATGTGTAGAAGTTAACAAACCAAATATAGTGTGTGTGTGTGAGTATGTGTGAGTGTGTGTGTGTGTGTATGAGTATGTGTGAGTGTGTGTGTGTGATTATTTGTGTGAGTGCGCGTGTGTGTTTGAGGGATATCAAATCACAAAGTATATTTTATGAGTTTGTCAAATGTTAAATGTCTATCACTGTTAAATATAAAACATGGAATTATAAAAACTAAACCAGGGCTGAATTAATAATTGACTCAGCCTTTATTGAGACAGAAGAGGACTTCAGCCACAATGTAATTTTAAACATGTGTCTTATTTTGTAGGAGCCACGTTTCCGCGCGGCTTGAGAGCGCTCGCTTGACGCCTATGATTCAGCCTCCAGCTGCACGCAGGGACTTCGGGAGCACAGGGGTGGGTCCGCTGTCCCGTCACGGCAAAACACGACCCTCACGTCCTCCATTCACCTCCCGCAGTGCACGTTCACACACACACACACACACACTTTCTGATGTGCGTGAATGACGTCACCGCTGCAGCTGGAGGACTGTGATGTCACACGAGCGGTGACGTGTAATGGCGTTTCCAGTACATGAGACATGGGTTTATAACTGTGGATGAATACGTGATTAAAGACGTGTCACGTGACTTTGAACCTACAGTGTAATAAAACCCGTGTTCCTGTCTCACAGCAGTTTGCTTCTATCACAAGTTTTCACATCTCTGCATCTCTAGATCAGCTTTTTCAGACAGACCAGTGAAAAAGAGAGAAACCCCCCTCCCCTCACTCCCCTCAGTTTGTAAATGAGTAAATGTTTTATGATGACGAGATAAAGACAGAATGTTAAGGAACTTTCTGTTCGGACAAAACAAAGAGGTTTGAAACTCCAGGAGAGAAAAGAGTATAATAGAGTAGAATAGAATAGAGTAGAGTAGGGTAGAGTAGGGTGGAACAGAGTAGGGTAGAACAGAGTAGGGTAGAGTAGGGTGGAACAGAGTAGGGTAGAGTAGAGTAGAGTAGGGTAGAGTAGAGTAGAGTAGAGTAGGGTAGAGTAGAGTAGAGTAGAGTAGGGTAGGGTAGGGTAGAGTAGAGTAGAGTAGAGTAGAGTAGAGTAGAGTAGAGTAGAGTAGAGTAGAGTAGAGTAGGGTAGAGTAGAGTAGAGTAGAGTAAGGTAGGGTAGAGTAGAGTAGGGTAGGGTAGTGTAGAGTAGGGTGGGGTAGGGTAGGGCCAAGAAGGACCGGTGGAACAGGGGCTATATTCTTGAAAAACCATATTTAATTTTCTCCAACATTGCTCAAAATATCACTTTTTTTCTACAGATGAAGTGGAATTCTGGCCCAGTCCTCGCTCCTCTGATCAGGTGTGCGATAAAATTGAACCTTGATTTTATGCAGCACTTTAGTGGAATGAAGTATGTGGGAGTTATTTTAGATAATTTAGTTCTTATATTTTGCTAAGTTCATTTGTTTAAGATCATTTCAATTATTGCTAATCTAATTCTGTTTAGCTAATGCCTCTACACTGCAGCGTGCTGGGAATATGTTGTTTTACCACCGAGAGGCTGCAGTTTGTCTTTGGCTTGGACAATAAACTAACCTAAAATGCATTTTTGTTTGAACATTTTGTTTTCTCTACACTGTAAAGAGAACCTGAAAACACATGAAGTGGCTTTGATTTTTTGGTTTGAGTCTGTTTAAGTTATGGAAAAATCACCACTAAATGTCTACATGTTAGAGCCAAATGAACCAACTGGGATTCTGAGGAGCACAGGGACTGGCCTCCTGCTGGGACTGAGGAGCACAGGGACTGGCCTCCTGCTGGGACTCGGAGGAGCACAGGGACTGGCCTCCTGCTGGGACTCGGAGGAGCACAGGGACTGGCCTCCTGCTGGGACTCGGAGGAGCACAGGGACTGGCCTCCTGCTGGGACTCGGAGGAGCACAGGGACTGACCTCCTGCAGAGATTTGGAGAAGCACAGGGACTGGCCTCCTGCTGGGACTCGGAGGAGCACAGGGACTGACCTCCTGCAGAGATTTGGAGAAGCACAGGGACTGGCCTCCTGCTGGGACTCGGAGGAGCACAGGGACTGGCCTCCTGCTGCTCCCCGAGTCAGGACTACCCAGGTGGAGGCAGCATTTCAGATTCATGCAGCTAAAATCTTCCTGAAAATGTGAGACAAGCTTCTTCTCTGACAATGTTCAAATCAAGATTAAAAACAGCTCTTTTTAATGCAGTGATTATTCATGTCTTGTGTATGAACCACTAAAAACAAATAACCTTGAACTGTATCAACTGCTGATTGGTCCAAACTCAGAACAGATCTGGTTTTGAAAGAAAAAAAACTACAGCTTGAGTTCAGAGGCTTCTAGTTTTTATTCTATTCAAAAACAAGCCTCAGGTACAAATACGTGACGTAAAAAGACTAATTCTTGCTCCTGTTGAAATTAATCAAGAATAAAAAAGGTCTAGTTGAGCCCAAAATGCTTTATTTCACCCACCATCAAGTCAAGGTTCATTCACTGAAGGTTCTGTGATCTAATATTAAAAAGCATGGAGTGGTTACAGCACGAGAAGGTCCAGGATTAAACAATGGGATTTAATATTATAGCTTTTATTATTGATCAGTTTATTCCAACACAGAAGGAGGCAGTCGCAGTAACAACTCTTTCATTTCATTCTAACCCAGTCCTGTTTGTTTCCACTACAGATAAGTCGATATATTTTAGACGTTTCAGACGATGCTTGCGGTTGAAGTGAAACAGAAATGTGCGCGTTAGCCGGTTAGCCGTTTAGCTAACCCGCCGCTGCCTACTGGACCTTTACAGGATGATAAAATATATAAATCTTTGTGTGATGTGTCCACAAGAGCGTCAGAAATGAAAAGAAAGATCGATTTTGGCCGAAAGAGTGACTCCGGTCCGGACCGAAGTGCACGGCGGCGCCTGGGACCGCGGCTTGTGTGTCTCCCCCTCGTCGAGTTTGGAGAAGATGTGAGTGAGAGTCCGACTGAGCGAAGAAATTAAGAGGTTTGAGGAGGGCGCCGTCAGTTCGCTTCGTTCTTGGAGGCTTCGTCAAAGTTCTCCACGAGATCTGGAAGAAACGTAGACGACAGAAGAGTGAGATTGGAGCGTGGGGAAAGTGAATGAACGCCACAGAGAAAGAGACACGGGATAAGAGCAGGGAAAACGTCAATGTTATGGTCGATATTGTCGTGATACGTCCAAATCTCACAGTATGACGTTATGGAGAGGCTCAGGCCGCTGTAGCCGTTATTATGTAAGAATACTTTGGTTTTAGGCTAAGCTAGCGTTGGTTGTCATCATTCAGGCTAATACAGTCCATGACCAGTTAGTAAAATTATAGTTTTACATTTGAGCCTTTGAGCACACTGTAAAATTCTACCATACATCGTTTCCATACTTTATTAAAGACTTTCACACAATATTCAAGACTTTAAGGTCTGGAAAGTAGTGTTTCAAAATTCCATACTTTCTAAAACTTTCAAAACTTGAGCAAGCCCCCTGAAAACAAAGTCAAATTCAAGTGGCCACAGCGTTCGGTAACATTTGGTCGCACAATTTTCTCTTCTAGTTAAACTGAAACGTCGCAGATATGAACATGTTGTACCCGGTGAGTTCCATGTTGTGGCAGAGTTACTTTTTCTAAGGTTTTGGCGCAGACGGGACAGAGTCTGTGGGACCGGCTTATACGATGTTTAAATGTGGCATATTTGGTTTATGAAATCTGAACTAAAATACGACATAATCATAAGAACAGCTCAAACTGGGTCAAAATCATTAGTTCCACATTTTCAGCCTGAATGTAGCAGTAGTATGTAGTCACTGTGAAAGTTAAGCTGCTTCAAAAAAGGTTCATTTTGTTACTCTAACCCTTGTGCTATGCTAGGTCCAAATCGAGCCACAAATACCGTAAATATTATAATTGTTTTAAGCAGAATTAGGATCTTTCTATTTGTCATTTAAACACTTTTAGGCCCAATTCAGGGGATTTTTCTTCTACTTTTACGTCGCTGTGGCAGGTTGTTTTGATCTGAGCGAAGCACAGGGGTTTAATCAGTTACAGGTTGACAAAGGTACATTATTGATCCAAATTGAAGCAGGTTCGTTGTCCTCCCGTTCCCGATAAACCTGCTCTAGTTTTTGATGATAAAAAGGTTGTGTTTGGGCAAGAACAGAACAATAACAACATCGACATTGACTCTGGAGACAAACGAGAAACTTGCAATTCAGCGTCATCCCATGTATGTGTTTACCACTACAGTCATTCTGGGTTATTTAGGCACTACTTTGATCTTTGAGATTTGTTCATGCTGAGGGCGCCCCCTGGAGGCTTAGCTGAGGGCGCCCCCTGGAGGCTTAGCTGAGGGCGCCCCCTGGAGGCTTAGCTGAGACATGAGGAAAGTTCACATGGATTTAAATGTTGCCTATTTTTGTTTTACCTTATTGGAACCGAGGAGAGCGAGGGTTTGAGCTGCAGCAAGTGACCGTTGTAAACAAACACTGGATTGATTTCTCTCTCTCCCTCTCCCCCTCGCTCTGGTCTCCCTCCCACTGGTATCTCTCTCTCCCCCTCTCCAGTCTCTCCGGTCTCCCTCCCTCTCCAGTCTCCCTGGTCTCACTCCCTCTCCAGTCTCTCTGGTTTCCCCCCCTCTGGTATCTCTCTCTCCCCCTCTACTCTCTCCCTCCCTCTCTTCTCTCTGTGAGGGTTTGTGAATTCCCCTGCGTTCTTTTCATGTCCAAAGTGTATTTTCTTTCCAAAGTAACTGTTGCAGCGAACACCAGAGAGAGCAGTTAGAGTCAGAGTCACACCTGGTACGTCGTCCTCGTCCTCTTCGATGATCTGCTCCTTCACTGCTTTCATGTCCATCGCTGAAAAACAAAAACACATCATCACTACAGAGTTCACTGTCGTCTTTGAGCCGTTTCATTCAGAAAAACATTGAAGCAGTCGCACAAAAGCACGCAGGAGTCTGTACGTTTAACCACAGACCTCTCAGGGCCGCCATTTTGACTGCTCCCATTCACATCAATTTCATTCAGAGAAATTCCACAATGTTTTAAAACACTAATATTTACCAATGGAAGGAATTAGTGTAAAAATAAGAGGCAATGACGACGTTTATTTGAGAGTATGGAGACGATTTAAGAGATTATACAGAGGGCACTGAACCGCTACAAGGACGAGCTCTGGACACAGGCGCTTGATTATGATGTCATAGTATCTCAGTAAGTGCGGTGTGATGAAGTCGTCTGTGCTGACTGCTCCGTTTTGGTTTTATTCCCGTTTTGTGTAAAAATTGAATAAAATATAAATATATCTACAAAACACTGTCCTTTAACGCCTCTAATGCTTGTAATACAGCAAAGCCAGAGGAAATGCTAAATGCTAACGGCTGGCAGCTAAACAGTGCGTTGCTATGGTAACCAGCCCTTTCAGCTCTCTGGTGGAAAACAAAGCTAAGGATGAAGGTTAGCGAGCGAACGAAAAAGGCTACATTTTAACTTTACATTAAAACAAATCTGAGCTAAAAAAGGTCGAACAATATCACATTTGTTCGTCATAACTTCCAAGACTAAAAGCCGTCGAATTGACTGCTCTGAGAGTTGTAGTGTTATGGATCTACAGCTTCCAGTCCCCGCCCTCAATGAGTCTTCCCAAGGTTTCTCACTTTTTTCCTTCATGGACGCAGGAGGGTCTGAGGACAGGAGGGTCTGAGGACAGGAGGGTCTGAGGACAGGAGGGTCTGAGGACAGGAGGGTCTGAGGACAGGAGGGTCTGAGGACAGGAGGGTCTGAGGACAGGAGGGTCTGAGGACAGGAGGGTCTGAGGACAGGAGGGTCTGAGGACAGGAGGGTCTGAGGACAGGAGGGTCTGAGGACAGGCGTGACCCGGGACAGTGGTCGTGTGTTATGACTGCATTTCCTGTGTTTTAGGGCGATACACATTGTGTGTGTGTGTGTCTGTGTGTCTGTGTGTCTGTGTGTGTCCGTGTGTGTCCGTGTGTGTGTCCGTGTGTGTGTCCGTGTGTGTGTCCGTGTGTGTGTCCGTGTGTGTGTCCGTGTGTGTGTCCGTGTGTGTGTCCGTGTGTGTGTCCGTGTGTGTGTCCGTGTGTGTGTCCGTGTGTGTGTCCGTGTGTGTGTCCGTGTGTGTGTCCGTGTGTGTCCGTGTGTGTCCGTGTGTGTCCGTGTGTGTGTGTGTGTGTCCGTGTGTCCGTGTGTGTGTGTCCGTGTGTGTGTGTCCGTGTGTGTGTGTGTGTGTCCGTGTGTCCGTGTGTGTGTGTCCGTGTGTGTGTGTCCGTGTGTGTGTGTGTGTCCCGGTCCTCACCTTGCCGGGGGAAGCTCTCTGCCAGTTTGCGGAGGCTGGAGAGGCTGTCGGCCCCGAGCTGGCTCAGGATGCCCGGGAGCATCTCTGTCAGCTGCTTGGTCTCGGCGTGGCCCGTGATGGCGAAGGTGTTGGCGGACAGCGAGGCCTGCACTTTGGGGTTGTTGAAGTGGATCACCGTCCCGTCGTCTTTGATCATGTTCACCTGCGGACCAGAAGCGAGCGGAGGTGAAACAGCAGAAACACAGATGGACGGTTGCTATGGGAGATGTGGTCGTTCCAAACATGAGGTGGCGTTTCAGATTTATGCATCAAAAACCAGGGACAGTCTTCCTGAAAATTTGAGACAGGCTTCTGTTTCGTTGTGAATAAATCTGAAGGATAGCAATTTACTTGGATTATAAATTTAATGTTTATTTTGCACCACACAGCCTTACACTTCAAAAAGTTATGAAAACTAGGAAAAAGATTTTATTAAAACTAGATTCTCCGGTCTTAATTAAAGAACTGTTGATTCATTTTCTCATTCCAGGGAGACATTTCTGTATCATTTTAAAACAAGATCCTTTTGATTTGTCGCACTGGAGAATCTGGTTTTAAAGCTTGGTCAGAATGTGCTCAAGTTACAATAGATTTGAGCTAAATGTTGACTTATTTTTCTCATCACTTTTTGCAGTGCGGCCCCGGGTCTGCGCAGCCTCGGCCCCGGGTCTGCGCAGCCTCGGCCCCGGGTCTGCGCAGCCTCGGCCCCGGGTCTGCGCAGCCTCGGCCCCGGGTCTGCGCAGCCTCGGCCCCGGGTCTGCGCAGCCTCGCCCGGGTCTGCGCAGCCTCGGCCCCGGGTCTGCGCAGCCTCGGCCCCGGGTCTGCGCAGCCTCGGCCCCGGGTCTGCGCAGCCTCGGCCCCGGGTCTGCGCAGCCTCGGCCCCGGGTCTGCTCAGCCTGGGCAGCCTCGGCCCGGGTCTGCGCAGCCTCGGCCCCGGGTCTGCGCAGCCTCGGCCCCGGGTCTACGCAGCCTCGGCCCCGGGTCTACGCAGCCTCGGCCCCGGGTCTACACAGCCTCGGCCCCGGGTCTACACAGCCTCGGCCCCGGGTCTACAGCCTCGGCCCTGGGTCTACAGCCTCGGCCCTGGGTCTACAGCCTCGGCCCTGGGTCTACAGCCTCGGCCCTGGGTCTACAGCCTCGGCCCTGGGTCTACAGCCTCGGCCCTGGGTCTACAGCCTCGGCCCTGGGTCTACAGCCTCGGCCCCGGGTCTGCACAGCCTCAGCCCTGGGTCTACAGCCTCGGCCCCGGGTCTGCACAGCCTCAGCCCTGGGTCTACAGCCTCGGCCCTGGGTCTACAGCCTCGGCCCCGGGTCTACAGCCTCAGCCCCGGGTCTACAGCCTCAGCCCTGTCTGCGTTTGTCATCATTGCATGTCCTTTGTTGGAACAGTTTGATCTGTTATGATTTAGGGCGAGACACAAAACAGTATCAAGCACTTTGGGCTTCCTTGTGTATGAACTATTCATAAACAAACTCATTTGATTTTATGGCCCCATTCTGAAGAAGCCCAATATTCAAGATCGAATCCCAAAAGTATGGCCCCTCGAACTAGAATCTGGTTTTTTTCGGTGCAAAGTAGTAAAGAGTAAAGGACTTAAAATGTCCTAGCCTGGTCTTATCCATCTGTACACTCTGGTCAACCATCATGTCCTGCATGTAAAGTCTGGGTCTGGTCCCTGTGTTTGAGATTACAATCGGTAGAATTGGGAGGCGGGTGTTTGTAGTTAGATGTGGGTGACGTCAAGAGTTTGCGCTGAACAGGCAGGTTGTAGTTTGGCAAAGAATGCAATAGTAAAGTAATCTGGTCTGGTTCTATCAAGAAACTGAAGCCGCAGCAAGAGGAATGTTTAGCAAATGTAATCGCTGCAAAGATTGCGGCGCTATTCCCCATGGGCTCCGTTAGCAGCAAAGGAGATGGCTAAAGCTAGGCTAAATGCTAAAGCTAGGCTAAATGCTAACAACAGACTCACTCGGACTCATTAGATACGTCACGGTAAACTCAGATCCAATAGTTTCAATCTGCAAAAGGAGTTAACCCGTACCACCTGTTAACGGAGCACAACGGAGCAAATCCAGACCTTGGCAAAAAATGAAATGTGTACTATGGTGTGGTACGACCAGACTATAAATGTCCCATAGTTGTGTTTTGTTCGTTACCTCTTCTATTCCTGCGATGTTGTTCACGGCCAGTTTCTTCAAAGAGCTCTGGAGTTTTTTGTCGTCGGCTGTGGCGGTTTTGTGAACAACCTTCTTCTTTCTGCGAGCTGTGCCCTGAAGAAACAAAGGAAACATCTCAGCAAACACAAAACAAACCCCCATCAACACTTAGACTTCTGGAAGTTTGACCACGCCCCAAAGAAAAAGGAATTCTGAGAAATAATGTGTATGAGTTTTACTTCCAGTCCCGGACCAAGACCAGTCCAGGACCAAGACCAGTCCAGGACCAAGACCAGTCCCAGCACCAAGACCAGTCCCGGACCAAGACCAGTCCAGGACCAAGACCAGTCCAGGACCAAGACCAGGACCAGCACCAAGACCAGTCCCGGACCAAGACCAGTCCCGGACCAAGACCGAGACCAGTCCAGGACCAGGACCGAGACCAGTCCAGGACCAGGACCGAGACCAGTCCAGGACCAGGACCGAGACCAGTCCAGGACCAGGACCGAGACCAGTCCAGGACCAGGACCGAGACCAGTCCAGGACCAGGACCGAGACCAGTCCCGGACCAAGACCAGTCCCGGACCAAGACAGGACCAAGACCAGTCCCGGACCAAGACAGGACCAAGACAGGACCAAGACCAGTCCCGGACCAAGACCAGTCCCGGACCAAGACCAGTCCCGGACCAAGACCAGTCCCGGACCAAGACCAGTCCCGGACCAAGACCAGTCACGGACCAAGACAGGACCAAGACCAGTCCCGGACCAAGACAGGACCAAGACCAGTCCCGGACCAAGACAGGACCAAGACCAGTCCCGGACCAGTCCAGGACCAGCATCTTGAGAAAGATGTGTGTCTTTTAGTTCGATCTAAAGGGATTCTGAAATAAACCGGGGTTACAGGTGCGATAACAGGAATTACAATAAAAATAATAATTCAAAACATGTACAGCACTTTTTGGACACACGCTTCACATGGGGAATAAAATAAAATAAAAAAAGGAGTTACCAGAAAAGACGGTTTGAACAGATGAGTTTTAGGACTGATTTAGTTTAGCTTAAGTTTGGTTGTGAGTCAGAGTCACAAACTAGGAATTTTCTTTGGCTCATGGTACAAACAAGTTATAATTAAATATCTTACAAGAAAGAGACACGTATAAGGCATGCATTAAATAAAGTCCTTAAATTTCTCCGTTGTTTTCTACACAAACGGGAAATGCCACAGACAATGCGTTGATCCGTGTTGGGATAAAAAGTGCTGAGGTCAGGCCTGCGCTCAGAGACCCCACCGTCCCATAACAGCTGAACGCACAGCTGCTGCCGGAGAACCACGCCACGCCACTACCACCGCATAAAAACAGCGTTAGGAAACAGTCACGGTACCTTTCCTCCTATCCGCACTTGAGCCTGAAGTTTGGCGAGTTTCTCCTGATTCATGTTGATTATCTGGAACAAAAGGAGAAACCAAAGTCAAATCAGAAAAGTCATTAATACTTCAATTCCAGTCTTTAGTGTGAATTCTTCATCTCCTTTATAATGCAAGTAGTAAGTTTTTATTTATATACCGCCTTTTCACTGCAGATCTGAGTCTCAAAGCGGTTTACAAATGTTATTTTTGGGCATTTGTCTCTCACTCCACACAGAGATGGGAGCGGGGCCAGTACAGGAGGCACATGCTAGAACTATTGGACATATTTTTAGTGGTAGGGGAAACCGGAGTAGCCAGAGGAAACCTACGCAGACACGGGGAGAACATGCAAACTCCACTCAGAAAGGCCCTGGTCCGACCGGGATTCGAACCCAGGACCTTCTTGTTGAGAGGAGAGAATGCTATCCACTCAGCCGCCCTAATGGACTATAATGAATTGATATAGAATGCTAAAACATGTGTTCAAGCTGCTCTTTGTGGCGCCACCTGCAGGGGAAAGCCAGATCCTGTCACACATGTGTAGCTAAGCAGGGCAGGGCCTGGTGAGTGCTGTGATGAGAGACCTCTGGGAACAGCAGGTGCCACAGTGGGGCGGCTGCGGCTGTAAAGTGCCCAACTGTGGTAATGTCATTTCGCAAGACACTTCACCCACATTAGAACGAGTCTAGGTGCGTGTGTGAATGGTTGGTGGTTGTGGGAGGGGCTGATGGCACAGACTGGTTGCTTCGCTCGTACCAGTGTGTCCCAGGGCAGCTGTGGCTACAGGAAATCACCATGTAGGGCGTTAATGAATAGTGCTGTGAAGAGTCTTTGAGCGTCCAGAAAAGCACTACATAAAACCAATGGATTTTGAATCAATAATTAGCATTCCTGATCATGTGATGTTTATAGAGGGACTTCTTTACACACACTAACATAGATATAATTTTACACATTAGACTATAGATTTAATTGCACATTCTTGTATTCCATGTACTTTTACACAGGTTAATTCAATAACAACACATGCCCACGTGTTCCCACACACATCCATGTAGTGATCATGTTGTTCATGCATGTGCAAAAACCTCCAGGCTAAACACTAGATTTACGGGATTAGCTTCTTAGCATAGCATTGTAAAACATTCCGTAATCTAACACGTGGATGCGTATCTATAATCACCACCACACCACCGTGATGGGATATCATGTGTGAGTTTTCATTTTCTAACGCGAAATTCTGTCTTTATTAGCATTTGTGTTCACGCCTGATGCTAATATCGCTAATAGCAGCACACGCCAAAGCACGCACACGGACCATGTTGCCCAATCTCTGCAAACAAACCCAGAAAAACGACTTTGTGGAAAGAGTTACGGCAAAAGTCACTACGTCAGGTTAAGAGGATTCGCATTGTGCTGAATATAAATGTATCTTTACCTTTTTGAGTTGAAGTTTACAGACTGAATGCGCTGAGAAACGAGGTGAAGCAGCAGCTGAGCTAACGCTTTACAACAACACCAAACATTTAGAGCCTGTTCCTGTACAGACTTTCAAAATAAAAGCAGGTGCGTTGAAAAGTTGTATTGTCTTCTTATTATTCTGACATATTTACAGTCATTAAGCAATATAATAGTAGTTATGAATAGCCTTGAGATGTACCATGTTATTGTTTTAGCATTATATTACGTCGAATGCAAATATTTTGACGTTTTAAAATGTTAGGCTCGGGTGTGTTTCCGGTTTGAGAGCGAGATTACACTGTCTGACTTGACTAATCACCCTACAGTCAGCGACACGCGGTTATCCGGATGTGACGTCAGAGCTATGACTCCAACAATGAAAGACAAAATATAAAGTAAAAGTATTTGAAGGTATACATCATAGACTAGAGAGAGCTACAACACTGGCAGAGAGCTACAACACTGGCAGAGAGCTACAACACTGGCAGAGAGCTACAATGGATTGAGTAGTTTTGATCTTGATTTTGAAATATTTTGACATTCTTAAAACAATAACGAGTTTGAGTTTTATAACAAATGTGTTCCATTGGTAAATCTTGTTTTAGAACTGTCAAAAAATGATCTCTCATTAATTTTTCCAAATTTGTGCAATTTCAAACTATTTTTTGACATTTCTTGTGTCGTGTTATATCCATAAAACAATATATCATAATCATTTATATATCTACTCATAAAAACTATCATTGGGGAGCCGTCAGAGACTCCAACAATAAAAAATGAGGTAAAAGTATTTGGGTTGTTAAGTAATCTTTATGCGTATCATTGTATAGACTGTATAGATTGTATAGATCGTGTAGATTGTATAGACTGTAAAGATTGTGTAGATTGTATAGATCGTGTAGATTGTATAGACTGTATAGATTGTGTAGACTGTAAAGATTGTGTAGACTGTAAAGATTGTGTAGATTGTATAGACTGTATAGATTGTGTAGACTGTAAAGATTGTGTAGATTGTATAGACTGTATAGATTGTATAGACTGTAAAGATTGTGTAGACTGTAAAGATTGTGTAGATTGTATAGACTGTATAGATTGTGTAGACTGTAAAGATTGTGTAGATTGTATAGACTGTATAGATTGTATAGACTGTAAAGATTGTGTAGACTGTAAAGATTGTGTAGATTGTATAGACTGTATAGATTGTGTAGACTGTAAAGATTGTGTAGATTGTATAGACTGTATAGATTGTGTAGACTGTAAAGATTGTGTAGATTGTATAGACTGTATAGATTGTATAGACTGTAAAGATTGTGTAGATTTGCATAGATTGTGTAGATTGTATAGACTGTAAAGATTGTGTAGATTGTATAGACTGTATAGATTGTATAGACTGTAAAGATTGTGTAGATTGTATAGACTGTAAAGATTGTGTAGATTGTATAGACTGTAAAGATTGTGTAGATTGTATAGATTGTATAGACTGTAAAGATTGTGTAGATTGTATAGATTGTATAGACTGTAAAGATTGTGTAGATTGTATAGATTGTGTAGATTGTATAGACTGTAAAGATTGTGTAGATTGTATAGACTGTAAAGATTGTGTAGATTGTATAGACTGTATAGACTGTAAAGATTGTGTAGATTGTATAGACTGTAAAGATTGTGTAGATTGTATAGATTGTATAGACTGTAAAGATTGTGTAGATTGTATAGACTGTAAAGATTGTGTAGATTGTATAGACTGTAAAGATTGTGTAGATTGTATAGACTGTATAGACTGTAAAGATTGTGTAGATTGTATAGACTGTAAAGATTGTGTAGATTGTATAGACTGTAAAGATTGTGTAGATTGTATAGATCGTGTAGATTGTATAGACTGTAAAGATTGTGTAGATTGTATAGATTGTATAGACTGTAAAGATTGTGTAGATTGTATAGACTGTAAAGATCGTGTAGACTGTAAAGATTGTGTAGACTGTAAAGATTGTGTAGATTGTATAGACTGTATAGATTGTGTAGACTGTAAAGATTGTGTAGATTGTATAGACTGTATAGATTGTATAGACTGTAAAGATTGTGTAGACTGTAAAGATTGTGTAGATTGTATAGACTGTATAGATTGTGTAGACTGTAAAGATTGTGTAGATTGTATAGACTGTAAAGATTGTATAGACTGTAAAGATTGTATAGACTGTATAGACTGTAAAGATTGTATAGATTGTATAGACTGTAAAGATTGTGTAGATTGTAAAGATTGTATAGATTGTATAGATTGTATAGACTGTAAAGATTGTATAGACTGTATAGACTGTAAAGATTGTATAGATTGTATAGACTGTAAAGATTGTGTAGATTGTATAGACTGTAAAGATTGTGTAGATTGTGTAGATTTTATAAACTGTAAAGATTGTGTAGATTGTATAGATTGTGTAGATTGTATAGACTGTAAAGATTGTGTAGATTGTATAGATTGTATAGACACGACAATGGAGTCACTTTCAATTAAATATATAATATTCTTTGGAATATCTCAGCTGTGACTTGCACAAAAAGAAACACATTTTGTATGATCTGAAATCTTAACGTTTGCATTTATATTTTCTCCTCTGCGTAAACACAACATTAAAGCTGGGGTGCCCAACTTTTTTATCCATTAATAACATTGTTTATTTTTCCAAACAGAGAGGGTCCGTTAAAGTACAGACCAGAACTTTTGTTTTATTGACTCTACTCTACTCTACTTGGACGGCACGGTGGCTGAGTGGTTAGCACTCTCGCCTCTCAGCAAGAAGGTCCTTGGTTCGAATCCCTGTCGGAACAGGGGCTCTCTGAGTGGAGTTTGCATGTTCTCCCCGTGTCTGCGTAGGTTTCCTCCAGGTACTCCGGTTTCCCCTACCACTAAAAATATGTACAATAGGTCTGGTATGCGCCTCCTGTACTGGCCCCGCTCCCATCTTTGTGTGGAGTGAGACTAATGCCCAAATACTCTGGTCTGTGAAAGGCGGTATATAAATAAAGATTACTTACTTACTTACTCTGTTCTACTCTACCCTGTTCTATTCTACTCAACTATACTCTACTCTACTCTACTCTTCTCTACCTGACTGTGTTTCCATTACGCTCGAGTATTTGGTACCACATCCGAGTAACTTACCCACAACAAACCAGTATCTGAGTAAATTCCTTGGTAACCATGGCTTCCAGCAGCACTCTGAGTCTGGATAGAACCAACTCTAGAACCATCGCTTTTATTGTGAAACTCAGAGGTTGGACTTCCGGGTGCATAATTTAGCAACAGTGCAGCTTGTCCCATTAGCTTTTTCCCCCTGTGCACCACTTTCAGCAGTCTCGGAGGGAAAGAAGAAGAGGATCCAGGACCATGCAGAACTCTGTGGCTAAACTCGCTCTGTTTTCACTTCTTCAGGCGCTGCTCTCTTTGTCTGTGTTCCAAGACGTGGTGGAAGCCGCTGATGGACGAGGTGAGTGTTTGAAAGGCTGTGGTCCAAACAGAGGGAGTCCTGGAGGGTTGCAGCAGCATCCTTATAGGCTGAGGCAGGTTTAACTGTATAGCACAGTTTGTACACACTCAAAAGTGCTTTATAAGGAAAGAAGCCGTAATAATAAGTGTGAAGATACAATCCTTCAGTTGTATAAACATCTGAACAAAACTGATCTAACCTGGGTTTGAACCTGAGAGTAGTAGTAGAAGTCTGTCTCACATTTTCAGGAAGACTGCTCCAGATTATAGCTGCAGGAATCTGAAATGCAGACTCCCAATGTTTAGTCCTGACTCTGGGATCAGCAGGAGGCCAGTCCCTGTGCTCCTCCGAGTCCACAGCCGGAGGCCAGTCCCTGTGCTCCTTCGAGTCCACAGCAGGAGGCCAGTCCCTGTGCTCCTCCGAGTCCCGGCAGGAGGCCAGTCCCTGTGCTCCTCCGAGTCCCGGCAGGAGGCCAGTCCCTGTGCTCCTCCGAGTCCCGGCAGGAGGCCAGTCCCTGTGCTCCTCCGAGTCCCGGCAGGAGGCCAGTCCCTGTGCTCCTCCGAGTCCCGGCAGGAGGCCAGTCCCTGTGCTCCTCCGAGTCCCGGCAGGAGGCCAGTCCCTGTGCTCCTCCGAGTCTAATATTATTTTTAGACTCTAAAACAAGCACTGAAGGATTTATGTAGTAACACACACCTGTATCTTCTGTAGTAACACACACCTGTATCTTCTGTAGTAACACACACCTGTATCTTCTGTAGTAACACACACCTGTATCTTCTGTAGTGACACACACCTGTATCTTCTGTAGTAACACACACCTGTATCTTCTGTAGTAACACACACCTGTATTTTCTGTAGTGACACACACCTGTATGTAGTCACACACACCTGTATCTTCTGTAGTGACACACACCTGTATGTAGTCACACACACCTGTATCTTCTGTAGTGACACACACCTGTATCTTCTGTAGTAACACACACCTGTATCTTCTGTAGTGACACACACCTGTATCTTCTGTAGTGACACACACCTGTATCTTCTGTAGTGACACACACCTGTATCTTCTGTAGTGACACACACACCTGTATGTAGTCGCACACACCTGTATGTAGTCGCACACACCTGTATCTTTTGTAGTGACGCACACCTGTATGTAGTCACACACACCTGTATCTTCTGTAGTGACACACACCTGTATGTAGCAACACACACCTATATCTTCTGTAGTCACACACACCTGTATCTTATGTAGCAACACACACCTGTATCTTATGTAGCAACACACACCTGTATCTTCTGTAGTAACACACACCTGTATCTTCTGTAGTAACACACACCTGTATCTTCTGTAGTAACACACACCTGTATCTTCTGTAGTCACACACGCCTGTATCTTATGTAGTCACACACACCTGTATCTTATGTAGTCACACACGCCTGTATCTTATGTAGTCACACACGCCTGTATCTTCTGTAGTGACACACACCTGTATCTTCTGTAGTGACACACACCTGTATCTTCTGTAGTGACACACACCTGTATGTAGTAACACACACCTGTATCTTCTGTAGTGACACACACCTGTATCTTCTGTAGTGACACACACCTGTATCTTCTGTAGTGACACACACCTGTATCTTCTGTAGTAACACACATGTATCTTCTGTAGTGACACACACCTGTATGTAGTAACACACACCTGTATCTTCTGTAGTAACACACACCTGTATCTTCTGTAGTAACACACACCTGTATCTTCTGTAGTAACACACACCTGTATCTTCTGTAGTAACACACACCTGTATCTTCTGTAGTAACACACATGTATCTTCTGTAGTGACACACACCTGTATGTAGTGACACACACCTGTATGTAGTGACACACACCTGTATGTAGTGACACACACCTGTATCTTCTGTAGTGACACACATGTATCTTCTGTAGTGACACACACCTGTATGTAGTGACACACACCTGTATCTTCTGTAGTGACACACACCTGTATGTAGTGACACACACCTGTATGTAGTGACACACACCTGTATGTAGTGACACACACCTGTATCTTCTGTAGTGACACACACCTGTATGTAGTGACACACACCTGTATGTAGTGACACACACCTGTATGTAGTGACACACACCTGTATCTTCTGTAGTGACACACACCTGTATCTTCTGTAGTGACACACACCTGTATATTGTGGGTCATGTCCAGTTCCGTTCTCTTCTTTTGTGAGGAGGACAAAGGTTTCTCTGGAGGATCCTGGAGCCGCGCCCAAACCTGTGGAACCAGGACCAGAGACGACACATTTACACTTTTTATGGTTCAAGTGTTTTTTTACCAGAAGTGACAGAAAATCCTTAGTAATAATATAATGTACAATTGAACTTTTTTGTTTTTTGTTTTATCGTTGTTTCCGTAGGATTCGGAGATCACATCCACTGGAGGTCACTGGACGACGGCAAAAAGGAAGCAGAGGCCAGGTCAGATCACGGATAATAATCCTAATCTTAATCCTAGTCTTAATCTTATTACACTGGTCCCTGGTTTATGGCAGGGGTGATGTGTCTCTGAAGTTGCAGCTGTTTGAGAGAGAGAGAGAGAGAGAGAGACCAGAGAGAGGCCAGAGGGGAGAGAGAGAGGCCAGAGGGGGAGAGAGAGAGGCCAGAGGGGGAGAGAGAGAGGCCAGAGGGGGAGAGAGAGAGGCCAGAGGGGGAGAGAGAGAGGCCAGAGGGGGAGAGAGAGAGGCCAGAGGGGGAGAGAGAGAGGCCAGAGGGGAGAGAGAGAGGCCAGAGGGGGAGAGAGAGAGGCCAGAGGGGGAGAGAGAGAGGCCAGAGGGGGAGAGAGAGAGGCCAGAGGGGGAGAGAGAGAGGCCAGAGGGGGAGAGAGAGAGGCCAGAGGGGGAGAGAGAGAGGCCAGAGGGGGAGAGAGAGAGGCCAGAGGGGGAGAGAGAGAGGCCAGAGGGGGAGAGAGAGAGGCCAGAGGGGGGAGAGAGAGGCCAGAGGGGGAGAGAGAGAGGCCAGAGGGGGAGAGAGAGAGGCCAGAGGGGGAGAGAGAGAGGCCAGAGGGAGAGAGGCCAGAGAGAGAGAGGCCAGAGAGAGAGAGGCCAGAGAGAGAGAGGCCAGAGAGAGAGAGGCCAGAGAGAGAGAGGCCAGAGAGAGGCCAGAGGAGAGGCCAGAGAGAGAGAGGCCAGAGAGAGAGAGGCCAGAGGGGAGAGAGGCCAGAGAGAGAGAGGCCAGAGAGAGAGAGGCCAGAGAGAGAGAGGCCAGAGAGAGAGAGGCCAGAGAGAGAGAGGCCAGAGAGAGAGAGGCCAGAGAGAGGAGGCCAGAGAGGCCAGAGGGGAGAGAGAGAGGCCAGAGGGGGAGAGAGAGAGGCCAGAGGGGGAGAGAGAGAGAGGCCAGAGGGGGAGAGAGAGAGGCCAGAGGGGGAGAGAGAGAGGCCAGAGGGGGAGAGAGAGAGGCCAGAGGGGGAGAGAGAGAGGCCAGAGGGGGAGAGAGAGAGGCCAGAGGGGGAGAGAGAGAGGCCAGAGGGGGAGAGAGAGAGGCCAGAGGGGGAGAGAGAGAGGCCAGAGGGGGAGAGAGAGAGAGGCCAGAGGGGGAGAGAGAGAGGCCAGAGGGGGAGAGAGAGAGGCCAGAGGGGGAGAGAGAGAGGCCAGAGGGGGAGAGAGAGAGGCCAGAGGGGAGAGAGAGAGGCCAGAGGGGGAGAGAGAGAGGCCAGAGGGGGAGAGAGAGAGGCCAGAGGGGGAGAGAGAGGCCAGAGGGGGAGAGAGAGAGGCCAGAGGGGGAGAGAGAGAGGCCAGAGGGGGAGAGAGAGAGGCCAGAGGGGGAGAGAGAGAGGCCAGAGAGAGAGAGAGAGGCCAGAGGGGAGAGAGAGAGGCCAGAGGGGGAGAGAGAGAGGCCAGAGGGGGAGAGAGAGAGGGGCCAGAGGGGGAGAGAGAGAGGCCAGAGGGGGAGAGAGAGAGCCAGAGGGGGAGAGAGAGAGGCCAGAGGGGGAGAGAGAGAGGCCAGAGGGGAGAGAGAGAGGCCAGAGGGGGAGAGAGAGAGGCCAGAGGGGAGAGAGAGAGGCCAGAGGGGGAGAGAGAGAGGCCAGAGGGGGAGAGAGAGAGGCCAGAGGGGGAGAGAGAGAGGCCAGAGGGGGGAGAGAGAGAGGCCAGAGGGGGGAGAGAGAGAGGCCAGAGGGGGAGAGAGAGAGGCCAGAGGGGGAGAGAGAGAGGCCAGAGGGGGAGAGAGAGAGGCCAGAGGGGGAGAGAGAGAGGCCAGAGGGGGAGAGAGAGAGGCCAGAGGGGGAGAGAGAGAGGCCAGAGAGAGAGAGGCCAAGAGAGAGAGAGGCCAGAGGGGGAGAGAGAGAGGCCAGAGGGGGAGAGAGAGGCCAGAGGGGGAGAGAGAGAGGCCAGAGGGGGAGAGAGAGAGGCCAGAGGGGAGAGAGAGAGGCCAGAGGGGGAGAGAGAGAGAGGCCAGAGGGGGAGAGAGAGAGGCCAGAGGGGGAGAGAGAGAGGCCAGAGGGGAGAGAGAGAGGCCAGAGGGGGAGAGAGAGAGAGAGGCCAGAGGGGGAGAGAGAGAGGCCAGAGGGGAGAGAGAGAGAGGCCAGAGGGGGAGAGAGAGAGGCCAGAGGGGGAGAGAGAGAGGCCAGAGGGGAGAGAGAGAGGCCAGGGGGGAGAGAGAGAGGCCAGAGGGGGAGAGAGAGAGGCCAGAGGGGGAGAGAGAGAGGCCAGAGAGAGGCCAGAGAGAGAGAGAGGCCAAGAGAGGGGAGAGAGAGAGGCCAGAGGGGGAGAGAGAGAGAGAGGCCAGAGAGAGAGGCCAGAGAGAGAGAGGCCAGAGAGAGAGAGGCCAGAGAGAGAGAGAGGCCAGAGAGAGAGGCCAGAGAGAGAGGGAGGCCAGAGAGAGAGAGGCCAGAGAGAGAGAGGCCAGAGAGAGAGAGGCCAGAGAGAGAGAGGCCAGAGAGAGAGAGGCCAGAGAGAGAGAGGCCAGAGAGAGAGAGGCCAGAGAGAGAGAGACCAGAGAGAGAGAGGCCAGAGAGAGAGAGGCCAGAGAGAGAGAGGCCAGAGAGAGAGAGGCCAGAGAGAGAGGCCAGAGAGAGAGAGGCCAGAGAGAGAGAGGCCAGAGAGAGAGAGGCCAGAGAGAGAGAGGCCAGAGAGAGAGAGGCCAGAGAGAGAGAGGCCAGAGAGAGAGAGGCCAGAGAGAGAGAGGCCAGAGAGAGAGAGACCAGAGAGAGAGAGAGAGAGACCAGAGAGAGAGAGAGAGAGAGAGACCAGAGAGAGAGGCCAGAGAGAGAGAGAGACCAGAGAGAGAGAGAGACCAGAGAGAGAGAGAGGCCAGAGAGAGAGAGAGGCCAGAGAGAGAGAGGCCAGAGAGAGAGAGGCCAGAGAGAGAGAGGCCAGAGAGAGAGAGGCCAGAGAGAGAGAGGCCAGAGAGAGAGAGAGGCCAGAGAGAGAGAGAGGCCAGAGAGAGAGAGAGGCCAGCCAGAGAGAGAGAGGCCAGAGAGAGAGAGGCCAGAGAGAGAGAGGCCAGAGAGAGGCCAGAGAGAGGCCAGAGAGAGAGAGGCCAGAGAGAGAGAGGCCAGAGAGAGAGAGGCCAGAGAGAGAGAGGCCAGAGAGAGAGAGGCCAGAGAGAGAGAGGCCAGAGAGAGAGAGGCCAGAGAGAGAGAGGCCAGAGAGAGAGAGGCCAGAGAGAGAGAGGCCAGAGAGAGAGAGGCCAGAGAGAGAGAGGCCAGAGAGAGAGAGGCCAGAGAGAGAGAGGCCAGAGAGAGAGAGGCCAGAGAGAGAGAGGCCAGAGAGAGAGAGACCAGAGAGAGAGAGGCCAGAGAGAGAGGCCAGAGAGAGAGACCAGAGAGAGAGAGACCAGAGAGAGAGAGACCAGAGAGAGAGAGGCCAGAGAGAGAGAGGCCAGAGAGAGAGAGGCCAGAGAGAGAGAGGCCAGAGAGAGAGAGGCCAGAGAGAGAGAGGCCAGAGAGAGAGAGGCCAGAGAGAGAGAGGCCAGAGAGAGAGAGGCCAGAGAGAGAGAGGCCAGAGAGAGAGAGGCCAGAGAGAGAGAGACCAGAGAGAGAGACCAGAGAGAGAGAGACCAGAGAGAGAGAGACCAGAGAGAGAGAGACCAGAGAGAGAGAGACCAGAGAGAGAGAGACCAGAGAGACCAGAGAGAGAGACCAGAGAGAGAGACCAGAGAGAGAGACCAGAGAGAGAGAGACCAGAGAGAGAGAGGCCAGAGAGAGAGAGGCCAGAGAGAGAGAGACCAGAGAGAGAGAGGCCAGAGAGAGAGAGGCCAGAGAGAGAGAGGCCAGAGAGAGAGAGGCCAGAGAGAGAGAGGCCAGAGAGAGAGAGGCCAGAGAGAGAGGCCAGAGAGAGAGGCCAGAGAGAGAGAGGCCAGAGAGAGAGAGGCCAGAGAGAGAGAGGCCAGAGAGAGAGAGGCCAGAGAGAGAGAGGCCAGAGAGAGAGAGGCCAGAGAGAGAGACCTATTTCACAACTAACTCCAAGCTGTCCTGGTACAGATCTGTTAAAGGCGAGTACTGGGGGATGGAGACTTTTGATCAGGGTCAGAAGGAGAGTTGTTTTTTCTATTTGAAAATATAAAAAAACGACCACTGACAATGAGTGAGAAAGTATTTGGGTTATGAATAATCTGAAATATATCTGTAGTAGTAGTAATAGTAGTAGTAGTAGTAGTAGATTCAAACCATGCTCATAAAAAACCATTTAAATAAGTATATAATTTCTTGTGTAATCAGATGACAGTTCTTCTGTATCTGGTCCATGTCCTGGTTGTAAATCCCACTCTGTGTCTGCAGCGGTTTGCCGATGATGGTTCTGATCCACAAAACCTGGTGCGGAGCCTGCAAAGGTACCATCGCAAATGACCAGGCTGAAATGTGTTTGGAAACTCACTTCTGTTTGTGTGTTTTTAAACCAGCGCTGAAGCCAAAGTTCGCAGAGTCCAAGGACATCTCTGAGCTCGCACACAACTTCGTCATGATCAACCTTGAAGTAAGAAAACTGTTTTTCTTTGAGCAGCAACGACGAGAAAGTCCTCAGACACAGGAAGTCAATCTCTCCGTTTAGAACCGAGAGTCTTCTGTGGAGTGTGCGGTTGCATCAGTGGAGAACTAATGGAGAACTAATGGAGTCTCTAATTTGCTAAAATATATTTATCTTACGGGTGTCAATTTTTTGGAAAATAGTTAAAGTAGGACTGGAAGAAATGCTTTAGCCTGCGTAGCATCTATGTAGCATCTGGCTAAAACTCACGGCATCACCCGGGGCCTCACCCGGGGCCTCACCCGGGGCCTCACGGTCACTCTCTGGAGGAAACTCGATCTCATCCTTTCTGTCATTACCCAAAGCTCATGACCAGAGGTGAGGGAGGGGACGGAGACAGAGCTTTGACAGCAGACACTGCTCCCTGCTCGCCACAAAACTCTGCATGTATTACAGATGATAAAAAGTTAGGTTCCCCAGCTTTAATCCAGGCTGTGTTTTCTCAGATGAAGTTATTTTGTGTGAATGTGTTTTTTCTTCAGTTTGATGTTTGTTGTGAACAGGACGAGGAGGAGCCCAAGGACGACGCCTTCAGCCCGGACGGAGGATACATCCCCCGCATTCTGTTCTTCGGTAAAACCACAGACCAGTCACACGAGGAGGAAACTCCACCATTTAACAAATATATTAATACATATTGTCAAAAGATAAACTTCAGTGTTCTCTTCGTGGGTCAAAGTGTTTGAAGATGGTGTCGTTACGTTCATCAAACTTTAAAATCAGAATCAAATGTATTTTATATTTTCTTATGGGCGGCACGGTGGCTGAGTGGATAGCACTCTCGCTTCTCAGCAAGAAGGTCCTGGGTTCGAATCCCGGTTGGACCAGGGCCTTTCTGAGTGGAGTTTGCATGTTCTCCCCGTGTCTGCGTAGGTTTCCTCCGGGTGCTCCGGTTTCTCCTACCACTAAAAATATGTACAATAGGTCTGGCATGTGCCTCCTGTACTGGAACCCCCACTCCCAAAAATAACAATTGTAAACCGCTTTGAGACTCCGATGTGCAGTGAAAAGGCGGTATATAAATAAAGATTACTACTTACTTACTTATTGACCTTTTTTAACCAGGACTAAACGTTCTTACAGAAGAGATCGTGACACTGCTCTTTACCTGAAGAATCAAGATTATCGATGAAACTAACATTTACTCTGCTTCCTTTTCATTTAGAGTTAGATTTTATTTAAAGTATTTTTAGATTTATTTGATTTGAGTAAAGAGTTATTATTAAATTATCTTTATTCCCTCTGTTCTGTGACTGTAAAGGGTCGTCCACACATAAGTAATGAATGAAGCGCCTTAAACATGACTTTCAGAGACCAGAGCAGTTGATTCCTGATCTCCCTTTAAACCCTCTGATGTCTGAGGGGTTGTTGTGGTCCTCTTCTGATGTCTGAGGGGCTGTTGTGGTCCTTTTCTGATGTCTGAGGGGTTGTTGTGGTCCTCTTCTGATGTCTGAGGGGTTGTTGTGGTCCTCTTCTGATGTCTGAGGGGCTGTTGTGGTCCTTTTCTGATGTCTGAGGGGTTGTTGTGGTCCTCTTCTTCTGATGTTGTTGGGGTTGTCTGTGGTCCTCTTCTGATGTCTGAGGGGTTGTTGTGGTCCTCTTCTGATGTCTGAGGGGTTGTTGTGGTCCTCTTCTGATGTCTGAGGGGTTGTTGTGGTCCTCTTCTGATGTCTGAGGGGTTGTTGTGGTCCTCTTCTGATGTCTGAGGGGTTGTTGTGGTCCTCTTCTGATGTCTGAGGGGTTGTTGTGGTCCTCTTCTGATGTCTGAGGGGTTGTTGTGGTCCTCTTCTGATGTCTGAGGGGTTGTTGTGGTCCTCTTCTGATGTCTGAGGGGTTGTTGTGGTCCTCTTCTGATGTCTGAGGGGTTGTTGTGGTCCTCTTCTGATGTCTGAGGGGTTGTTGTGGTCCTCTTCTGATGTCTGAGGGGTTGTTGTGGTCCTCTTCTGATGTCTGAGGGGTTGTTGTGGTCCTCTTCTGATGTCTGTGGGGTTGTTGTGGTCCTCTTCTGATGTATGTGGGGTTGTTGTGGTCCTCTTCTGATGTATGTGGGGTTGTTGTGGTCCTCTTCTGATGTCTGAGGGGTTGTTGTGGTCCTCTTCTGATGTCTGTGGGGTTGTTGTGGTCCTCTTCTGATGTATGTGGGGTTGTTGTGGTCCTCTTCTGATGTATGTGGGGTTGTTGTGGTCCTCTTCTGATGTCTGAGGGGTTGTTGTGGTCCTCTTCTGATGTCTGTGGGGTTGTTGTGGTCCTCTTCTGATGTCTGAAGGGTTATTGTGGTCCTCTTCTGATGTCTGAGGGGCTGTTGTGGTCCTCTTCTGATGTCTGAGGGGTTGTTGTGGTCCTCTTCTGATGTCTGAGGGGTTGTTGTGGTCCCGTCTCTGCAGATCCTCACGGAAAGGTCCATCCTGAAATCACCAACAGAAATGGAAACCCCAACTACAAATACTTCTACAGTAACGCAGACCAAGGTAAACACACACCCATCAGTAACCACTGTGTACAGAGGGACAATGCTAACCCGCTAGCTCAACGAGGGCTGATGGGGAAGTGCTCATGGACAAAGCACCTCCATCTCTCTCTGGCTCCTGTTGACTCACATGTAAAAGTAAATTCTACCTCAGTAAGTGTTTGTGTCTCACTCACCTGCTGAATAAGAATAGACCGACACCAGAGGGACACTCCAGCTTGACTTAGCATCGAGCACCATAGCGGGCAAACCCCGGCCCGTGGGCCAGATGTGGCCCTCTGGACTTCGATCAGGCCCCTGAGCCCTCCTCAGTTTATACAGATATAAACTGTTGTATATCGCTACAAAGCTCTACACACTTTTCTTTTTTACCTTTTATTTAACCAGAAAAGTCCCATTTAGATAAAGAACCTCTTTTTCAAGGGGGTCTTGGACAAAAGTTACACACAATTTCATACAATTACAGATTTTAAAAACAGTTACAGATCAATGAGGATGTCTCAGTCTCAATCTTAAAACATTTGAAACTGGGTCCGGCCCTGGACGCTGTTGGCCCGAGCCTGGTCCAGGATCAGGTCTGCTCCTGGTCCAGGATCAGGTCTGCTCTTGGTCCAGAACAAATGCCAGAATAATTCAACTCAATGTAGTTTACTTGTGTATCGTTCTAAACCGTTCTTTGTCGTGAAGGACTTTACAAAGTTGTCGATTCCTCCACAACCCTAACCATGGGTTCAATTCCACCTACTGTCGCTGGTGCGATGGTAAACATGTGTCATTCAGCCAACTTCAGCTCTGTTATAGATCATCATAAACCTCAGAACAGCCTGATGCCCTGGAGTGGCCTGGTGAACTAAACTGGCCTCTTACTAAAAAGTTTGGACGCCCCTGGTCTAACGTGTACTATATTCACGCATGTCTTCACCGATGGCGTTCTTACGTTGGCGTTCCGGCCTCATCCTGGTGTCTCAGCTCCTGTGTCAGAGTTAGTTCCTGGCTTGATGCTGTGTTACTGGAGAATGTTCCAGAATGTTCTAAATTCCTGTGAACACCTGTTTTCAGTGGCGTCTGGGATGAGGGAGGCCCAGGAGCGACTCACCGGAGACGCCTTCAAACGCCACAGCGGAGACGAGCTCTAGGCACGACCAGGACGCACCAGGAGCTAAGGGCTAGAACCACACCATCAACACCATCAACTCCACCGACACCATCATACACCATCGACACCATCATACACCATCGACACCATCATACACCACTGACACCATCATACACCACTGACACCATCATACACCACTGACACCATCAAACACCACTGACACCATCAACACCACTGACACCATCAACACCACTGACACCATCAACACCACTGACACCATCAACACCACTGACACCATCAACACCACTGACACCATCAACACCACTGACACCATCAACACCACTGACACCATCAACACCACTGACACCATCAACACCACTGACACCATCAACACCACTGACACCATCAACACCACTGACACCATCAACACCACTGACACCAACACCACTGACACCATCAGACACCACCGACACCATCGACACCACCGACACCATCGACACCACCGACACCATCGACACCACCGACACCATCGACACCACCGACACCATCGACACCACCGACACCATCGACACCACTGACACCATCGACACTGACACCATCGACACCACCGACACCATCGACACCACCGACACCGACACCACCGACACCACCGACACCACCGACACCATCGACACCACCCACACCATCGACACCACCCACACCATCGACACCACCCACACCATCGACACCACCCACACCATCGACACCACCCACACCATCGACACCACCCACACCATCGACACCACCCACACCACCGACACCACCTACACCATCGACACCACCCACACCACCTACACCACCCACACCATTGATGCCACCACACCGGCTGCTTTCATGGTGTGTTGTATTTCAGCAGGTGCCAACACATATAAGAGAATTTATGAAAGATATTTTGAAACTGAAAAAGTCCAAATGTTTTGATAGTAATTAGGTACAAACCAGAGAGAGACTAGAGAGAGAGCGACTAGAGAGAGAGAGACTAGAGAGACCGAGTCCAGAGGGAGAGAGCGAGTCCAGGACGTAGATAAATCTTAATTTAATTTCTCTTCTAAATAACTTTAAGGTCACATTGTTTCATTGTTATTTTTGTGTTTTTAAATTTAAGTACCTGAGCTTTAATCTGTGTTTCTCTCTGAAAGGCCAATAAAATACAACCTCCATCTCTATAAAGTGCAGCTCCCATTAACTCATGTTTAATTATGGTAACATTTGAAATTTGTTGTATTCATGTGTTTTTCTCTGAACGCTGTCAGACTGTACGTAGAGGATGGACACACTACGTTTAAAGCCAAGAAATGTTTTTATTTGCGTCTAACAACACTGTGGAGAAGAAACCCGGCTTCAAAAGACAGAGTGTGAGAATATGAATGTTATTATTAGACAAAAGATTCAAGAATGTATTTGCCATTTGCAGTAAAACCTCATTGGAAAAACTGTGCAGTGTGCCCTACAGAGAGGCCAACACCAGAGACACACAACACACACATACAGAGATGCGCGCACACGCACGCACGTACAGAGACACGCACGCACGTACAGAGACGCACACACGTACTGAGACGCACACACGTACTGAGACACGCACACACGTACACACATACAGAGACACGCACACACGTAGAGACACGCAACACACACATACAGAGATGCGCGCACAGACACACACACGTACAGAGACAGACACGCACACACGTACTGAGACACGCACACACGTACAGAGACACGCACACACGTACAGAGACACGCAACACACACATACAGAGATGCGTGCGCACACACACACACGTACAGACACGCACGCACGTGCAGAGACACGCACACACGTACAGAGACACGCACGCACGTGCAGAGACACGCACACACGTACTGAGACACACAGAGACGCGCGCACACACACACGTACAGACAGACACGCACACACGTACAGAGACACGCACACACGTGCAGAGACACGCACACACGCTTCTGTCATTACCGTGTGTGGAATAATTGGAACAATATCTGACTCTGAACATTGTAAAGCGCTTTGGGTCTGTAAAATGCGCTATATAAATAAACATTACTTACACGTGCAGAGACACGCAGACACGTACAGAGACACGCAGACACGTACAGAGACACGCAACACATGCGTACAGAGACACGCAACACATGCGTACAGAGACACGCAACACACGCGTACAGAGACACACGTTACAGACACACGTACAGAAACACATAGTGACACGCACACACGTACAGAGACACACACACAAAATTCTCCCTCTAGTGGCAGCACTGGGAGTTACGGGCAGACAGCTTTTTTTTACCCTTAATACTTCTCCAGATCCTCCACTTTCTCTAAAACATGAAATAACAAAGTAACTCGTATCATCCTTTTAAAAACCTAAAACAATGCTTCATAGATATTCTTTAATATTCTTTAATATTCTTGTTACGTCTGTGGCCCATTCCTGTTCCGGAGTAAATAAATGAAACTATGCATTTCCGGCCGGACTCTGGACCACAGTGTTGTTGGAAGAATCTGATCCCAAAAAGTGGACGTTTTTCTCCAAACGTGCTTCCGTCGTCCTCTATCGAGCTCTTCATGTGAAATGTATTTAAACTCAGTTCTGCTGTGAAGTACTTTTTGTGAAGTGACTTTTGTTGTCTGTATTATGTAAAACTGTCATAGTCCAGCGTTTGGGAATTTGCATGTTCTCCCTGTGTCTCCTCCTCCAAACGGCTGGACTCCACTGAACGATTTTTAAACTTTGTTCATGTAGAAAACATTTGTTCAGTGTCTTGTGTTTTATACGAATCAGCAACAATAAAGTTTGGGAATTGTGTAGCACTGGGCTGTTTTATAACACGCAATACTCTCACACTACACACATATACATGTACACAAACAAGCACTAACACACACACCCTTATACATACATACACTACAATTATATACATGTACACAGACAAGCGCGAACACACACATTCACATATACACACACTACTCATACATGGGTGAACACACTACACTCATACAATCATGAGCGAACACACACACACTACACTCATACACATACAATCATGAGCGAACACACACACTACACTCATACACAGTCATGAGCGAACACACACACACTACACTCATACACAGTCATGAGCGAACACACACACACTACACTCATACACATAGTCATGAGCGAACACACACACTACTCATACACAGTCATGAGCGAACACACACTACACTCATACACAGTCATGAGCGAACACACACACACTACACTCATACACATACAATCATGAGCGAACACACACACTACACTCATACACAGTCATGAGCGAACACACACACACTACACTCATACACAGTCATGAGCGAACACACACACACTACACTCATACACATAGTCATGAGCGAACACACACACTACTCATACACAGTCATGAGCGAACACACACTACACTCATACACAGTCATGAGCGAACACACACACACTACACTCATACACATACAATCATGAGCGAACACACACACTACTCATACACATAGTCATGAGCGAACACACACACACACTACACTCATACACATCCAGTCATGAGCGAACACACACACTATACTCATACAATCATGAGCGAATACACTCACACTACACTCATACACATACAATCATGAGCGAACACACACACTACTCATACACATAGTCATGAGCGAACACACACACACACTACACTCATACACATCCAGTCATGAGCGAACACACACACTATACTCATACAATCATGAGCGAATACACTCACACTACACTCATACACATACAATCATGAGCGAACACACACACTACTCATACACATAGTCATGAGCGAACACACACACACACACTACACTCATACAATCATGAGCGAACACACACATAAACAAAGTAAATGTGAGGGAGCTCTCTTTTCGCCGCCGTCAGTCCCGCCACGAGAACCCTCTGTTGTGCTGAGAACTGAGGAGGGCAGGGCCTCAGCGAGTCGTTTTCTTCTGCTTTGTGTTTAGTCTACATTTTTGACTTATATTTTACTTTTTGAATGTGACTCTGGTCCCCTCCCTCACCTCTGGTCCTCACCTCTGGTCCCCTCCCTCACCTCTGGTCCCCTACCTAACCTCTGGTCCCCTCCCTCACCTCTGGTCCCCTCCCTCACCTCTGGTCCCCTCCCTCACCTCTGGTCCCCTCCCTCACCTCTGGTCCCCTACCTAACCTCTGGTCCCCTCTCTCACCTCTGGTCCCCTCCCTCACCTCTGGTCCCCTACCTCACCTCTGGTCCCCTCCCTCACCTCTGGTCCCCTCCCTCACCTCTGGTCCCCTACCTCACCTCTGGTCCCCTACCTCACCTCTGGTCCCCTACCTCACCTCTGGTCCCCTACCTAACCTCTGGTCCCCTACCTAACCTCTGGTCCCCTACCTCACCTCTGGTCCCCTACCTCACCTCTGGTCCCCTCCCTCACCTCTGGTCCCCTCCCTCACCTCTGGTCCCCTCCCTCACCTCTGGTCCCCTACCTAACCTCTGGTCCCCTCCCTCACCTCTGGTCCCCTACCTCACCTCTGGTCCCCTACCTCACCTCTGGTCCCCTACCTCACCTCTGGTCCCCTCCCTCACCTCTGGTCCCCTCCCTCACCTCTGGTCCCCTCCCTCACCTCTGGTCCCCTCCCTCACCTCTGGTCCCCTACCTCACCTCTGGTCCCCTACCTCACCTCTGGTCCCCTACCTAACCTCTGGTCCCCTACCTCACCTCTGGTCCCCTACCTAACCTCTGGTCCCCTCCCTCACCTCTGGTCCCCTCCCTCACCTCTGGTCCCCTCACTCACCTCTGGTCCCCTCCCTCACCTCTGGTCCCCTACCTAACCTCTGGTCCCCTCCCTCACCTCTGGTCCCCTCACTCACCTCTGGTCCCCTGCCTCACCTCTGGTCCTCACCTCTGGTCCCCTCCCTCACCTCTGGTCCTCACCTCTGGTCCTCACCTCTGGTCCTCACCTCTGGTCCTCACCTCTGGTCCCCTCCCTCACCTCTGGTCCTCACCTCTGGTCCTCACCTCTGGTCCTCACCTCTGGTCCTCACCTCTGGTCCCCTCCCTCACCTCTGGTCCCGAGCTTTGGGTAATGACCAAAAGGACGAGATCGGGATTACAAGTAACCTGCATGAGTTTTTGAGGTAGGGAGAGTGAGTCGAAGTAGAGCCGCTGCTCCTCCATGTGCCATGCAGTTGGGGTCAGGCTTCAGTTTGGGATGCCTCCTGGACATCGCTCTGGGGAGGTTTTCTGGACATTATTATTATGGTCTGTCAAAGGCGCTATATTAATAAAGATTACTTACTTACATGTCCCACTGGGAGGAGACCAGGGGGAGGCCCAGGACACAGGGGACTGTCTCTCAGCTGGGAACGCCTCAGGATTCCCCCAGATGAGCTGGAGTTAGTGTGTGTGGAGTGGGACGTCTGGGGGTCTCTGCTCAGACTGCTGCCCCCGCGACCCGACAACGGATAAAGTGGAAGAGCGTGGATGGATGGGACGCAGTGCAGTAACAGGTGCTGCAATTCCATCTGTTTTAGCACATGGCCACTGTGATCTTTATGATTGTAACTCGTCAGTGTTTTGAGTTGTGTGTGAACTGTGCCATACAAATAACCTTGCCACCTCTGTGTGTGTGTGCGACAGAAACCACCGCAGACTCAGTGTTTCATGGTTTATTGTCTAAAACGTCATCCCTTATAAATCTCTAAATCAACTTTTTGACAAACACAGATCCCACAGAGTTACTTGGTGCAGCTTACAAAACATGCTTACAAAACATCACTAAAAACGGATAAGAGTGAATTTCAAAAAGAAAACATGGAAATGAGAAGCTAGATTAAAGCTGGGGTACGCAACCTTTCTCTCATTGACGTCACATGTAGTTTGTACGAGAGAAAAACAACATGATCAGATATCTTCTGTTTACTTATGAAATATCTCACTTTTTGACTCTTTGGGCTGAGAGTTGATTGGCCGAGAGAGGGTGGTCCTTTAATTTGAACTTTTCTGTCTAAAAAGCAGATCTAAAAATACATATGAAAACTAGTGCTAGAAGCAAACTGTTTAAAGCCCTGTTTCCACCGGCCCTACTCTACCCTACTCTACCCTACCCCCTAGTCTAGTCTACTCTACCCTACCCAACCCTACCTTACCATTAGTATCTGGTGACCTACCCATAACAAACCAGTGTCTGAGTAAATTCCTTGGTAACCATGGCTTCCTGCAGCACTGCCTCTAGTACCAGCTTGGCCTGGATAGAACCAGGACCAAAAGGGACTAAAGAAGGACCTGGTACTGGTTACACAGGACCAGAGGAAACACAATCAGAGTAGAGTAGGGTGGGGTAGGGTAGGGTAGGGTAGGGTAGGGTAGGTTGGGGTAGTTCAAATTATGACTGAGTTCCATTGTTGTGTTTTGAAAGTTACATACCCCAGCTTTAAAATGATACGATTATAAAAATTAGTCGAGGCAAACGTATAAGAATTAAAATGTGTTTTTTAAAAGAATAAATAGACTGAAGTTTTTGCTAAATAGTTTTCTACAGGTCGATAAAAGGCTGGTGAAGTTTTAAGGACACACAAGTAGCAGTAATTTGCATTTACAAAAATACAATTTCTCAAAAACAGATAGAAATATGATTAAAACAGCAGCATACACAAATATCTTATAATCGACGTGTTTGGTCACTAACGTTTCAAATCAACCAGTACCATTCATTTCCAGTGTACTTCAAAACTGGACACTAGAAAAATATTATCCAGCTACAAATCTATTTCACATCGACATTTACAGAATTACATAGAAATATATAAAGTATAATCTAAAGCAGGGGGTTCAAACCTTTAAGTGAGTGATCAGACAACTGGATTCTGAATTCGTTCTGGTCTGGTACCAAGTTAGCCTGGTCTTACCATGTGTAAACTCTGGTCCATGATCATTTCCTACATGTACGTCTGGGTCTGATCCTAGTGGCTGCAGTTTCCTCGGTTGAATCCCCTCCGACCAATCAGAGAGCGGGGGAGGCGGGTGTTGTAGGTCGGTGTCTGTGACGTCAAGAGTTTGCGCCAAATTTGCTGGTTGTTGTCGGAGAATGCGATAGTAAAATAATCTGTTCTGATTTGATCCAAATATCAAGATCGGGTGCATAACATACGTCACGTTAAACTCACGGTAAAGCTCCCACCTGTGGAGCTCAATGGAACGAAATCAGTACGATGGTATGGTAAGACCAGGCTAGCACCAAGCTACATTCATTGATGTTTAACCCCCTACGAGCCCTTCCCCCGCAGCCTTAGATCCTCGGGCAGGTCCCCGTTTGGAACCACCTGCCCGAGGAGATAAGGCTATAGCTCCATCATTACCCTCTTTTAAATCACTTCTTAAAACCCACTTTTATCGAATGGCCTTCCTTTGTCTGTTTTAAACTCCACATGTATTTTTCTTTTCCACATTGTCTTTGTTTTCTCGTCTGCTTTAATCTCCTGTGTTATGTTTGTTAACTTTATGGACTAAACACTGTCTTGTGTTTAGTCCATAGTGTCCAAGTGCTCTACGAAAAAAAAGATTATTATTATTAAAATGTGCAATAATGGAGCTTAAGTTGGCTGAATGACTAATGTTTTTTGCCTTCTCACCTGCGACATTAGCGGCGTATATGGAGAAAACGAAACGACAGAATAAGCGGTTCTAAGCTTTGAAACAAGGTGCAGCAGGACCTTGTGGTGTCTCTGATCTCCAACACTCCTCTCGGATAAAAAGGCAAATTAAATGGACACACGTGACGTCAGTTTGGACAGGCCTGATCTAAAACAAGACACAAGATGGCGCTGTCTCAAAAAGGAATGAACGGAGGTTAAATATGTGGATGATTTTTGAACAGTTAGTGCCTAAAGTTCATGATTTTAGTGCATTGTAAGTGTCTGTTATAAAGTCACGTGACCTGTGCTTATAAAACCTGTTGCTATGGTTACAAAGAGAGCAGCAGCAGTTGTAAACAAATAATTAGTGTTTTAAAATGGCTTCCTTCTTGAAAGACAGATGAGGATTGTCATGTTAAGAAAGACTGGTCCCTGGTTTATCTGCTCTCTTAATGTCATTACTTATGATTTTAATGTGTCTTTTTATCAGCGTAAAAATATATATATATTTATTTTTCCCAATCAATGTCAGTACAGTCCTCCTCCTTCTGTCATTGATTGGACACAAACAATTAAAAGCATATAAATATGTGAGTGTTTTTAGCTAAAGCAGAAACTATTTCTTCATCTGTGTGATCGGATCGAATCACATTTGACGGTGATTTTAAGCAGAAGTTTGAGAAATTCCAAAAGCTTCAGGCCACTGTCCATGAAAAATAGAGATAGAGGCCTCAGTATACATCTATAATAGAGATAGAGGCCTCAGTATACATCTATAAAAGAGATAGAGGCCTCAGTAAACATCTATAATAGAGATAGAGGCCTCAGTATACATCTATAATAGAAATAGAGGCCTCAGTATACATCTAAAATAGAGATAGAGGCCTCAGTATACATCTAAAATAGAGATAGAGGCCTCAGTATACATCTATAATAGAGATAAAGGCCGGTGTATGACATTCATGGACCAATGTGTTTGATTCTCTGATCTGTTGTTGGCGAATCGACAGTTTTGTAAAGTCCTCTGAGAAAACTATTGTTGTGATTTACGGCGATACAAAAATACATTGAATGGACGTGAACATCAAAACAGTGCTTATTTATGGTTTTTTGGTGCCTTGTGTGATTTTAAGGTTTCTTTTCTTATTGAGAGAACCCATTATTTTTACTTCATATAAACGTAAAAAGTATATATATTTTATCAGCTCTGCGTGTACAGTATATGGACTATTGCTTGTAATAACCTGAAGTGTCCAAATATGTGAAAAACTTCTACCATTGTCCTTTTGTGCTCTTCAGAACGGTCCGCTGAAAGCACTCACTTTGGACAGAGGCAGGAGGCGGGGCTAGAGGCAGGAGGCGGGGCTAGAACCTTCCCGTCTTGGCGTCTCCGATGGCGCCCCATACGTCGAACACAAACTCGTCCGGAAAGGCGAAGTCTCCCAGAGTCTCGTCCAGAGCCATGGCAAACTCGTCTGGGTTTTTCTTATCGCGGCCGACCTCCACCATAGTGGCAGCTGGGGACACAACCAGAAACACAACCAGAAGGATTAACACAACCAGAAACACAACCAGAAGGATTAACACAACCAGAAACACAACCAAAAGGATTAACACAACCAGACACACAACCAGAAGGATTAACACAACCAGAAACACAACCAGAAGGATTAACACAACCAGACACACAACCAGAAGGATTAACACAACCAGAAACACAACCAGAAGGATTAACACAACCAGAAACACCAACACAACAGGCGTGTTTCTTATTGTCACAACAAACCTGGATGCAGTCAGTGATTCTGAATTTTGTAGTGAATGTTTGACAGTTTCCTGTGTAATGGGATTGATTTTACAGAATTTCTATCTTTCTGATTTTCATATTTTCCTGTTCTTTCTAAACATGATCCTGTCCAGGGACTAGGGTGGAAATTAACTTATCGTGCTATAACCTGGAACATGGCATCTCCTCTGTCATGGACTAATGTCAGCTAATGTCCCTAAAACAGAAACAGAACCTTTAGTAGTAGTAGTAGTAGTAGAATGAGTAGTAGTAGTAGAACAAGTAGTAGTAGTAGTAGTAGGAGTAACACAATGTATGAATATGGACAATGCTAACCCGCTAGCTCTCTCTGGCTCCTGTTGACTCACATGTAAAAGTAAACTCCTCTCGCTCAGTAACTGTGTCACATTCAGTATTTTGGGTTTAAATGTCCGTGGTTTATCGATCTCTGGGATCCTGGTGTTTGTGTTGTGATATTTTCTTTGTAAAATACAGATATGAGCCTTATAAGGATTGACCAATCAGATGCCTTCATTCACTGGGGGGACCCTCCAGCTTGAATTAACAACATGTCTGCCTCTGCCTCCACGCAAAGCTAACGCCGCGGAACAAACGGCCATATAGAGAAATCGCATCCAGCTTACGGTCAAATAGGCTTCTTCTGCATTAAGGTGATGTCACACTCTCTGTGGCTACAACACTGGGACAGAGTGTGTAAAACTGGGACAGAGTGTGTAAAACTGAGACAGAGTGTGTAAAAACTGAGACAGAGTGTGTAAAACTGAGACAAAGTGTGTAAAACTGGGACAGAGTGTGTAAAACTGGGACAGAGTGTGTAAAACTGGGACAGAGTGTGTAAAACTGAGACAGAGTGTGTAAAACTGAGACAGAGTGTGTAAAACTGGGACAGAGTGTGTAAAACTGAGACAGAGTGTGTAAAACTGGGACAGAGTGTGTAAAACAGGGACAGAGTGTGTAAAACTGAGACAGAGTGTGTAAAACTGGGACAGAGTGTGTAAAACTGAGACAGAGTGTGTAAAACTGGGACAGAGTGTGTAAAACTGGGACAGAGTGTGTAAAACTGGGACAGAGTGTGTAAAGAGTGTGTAAAACAAACCGAGCTCCGTGTCCCTGATGCCCATGTAGCTCTCCAGGAGGTCGTCCACTTTCTTCACAGCTTTCTCCTCGAACTCTGTGGGCTGAAAAACAACAACACACACATTCATCCTCTGCTCAAAAACTATTTGACTGGAGAAATGATGGAACGCTTGGCTGTGTTAAAGCTGAGAGACCTGTTCCTACATAACAGACTTTGTTCCAAACCTTATGTACTTCAGAGTCTTGTCGCCAAGTCAGAAATGTAACTATGCGTCTCTGAAATGAAGCTAAAGCGGAGGTTCAGTCCAAGTCGCCCCCTGTCGGTAACAGCAACAGTATCTGTCAATCACACCCATCTGCAGCGCCACACTGCCCTCTCCTGGCAGCAATCAGGCACTGCACGCATCATTCATATCACGAGAAAGCTCCATCCAAACAGCAGCTTCATTCACGCTGCAACCCTCCTCCTCCCCTCCGCCTCGTTCAGGACCAGCTCTTTCATCCTTCTGCTCGCTCCCACCAGGGTCTGGGCCCCAGGGGACCACCACCAGGGTCTAGGCCTGTGGGCCGCGAATGAATGATCTTGGCCTCCAGGATGACATTTGAAATAAAACACAGTCCACTGTCAGGTCTTTGTTCAGTAGGTTTTATGCATCATTTTAAAATGTTTTAGTAAACTTTGAACCAGTCCGGCTCTCTGCCTGACGCAAACTTCTTTTTTTGACCTCAGATGTATTTGAGGGGCGACAGTTGCTCAGTTGATAGAGCATTGGACTTTGGGCCTGAAGGTCGTGGGTTCGATCCCCCCGCGAGACCTATTCCAGCTGCTCCCACTAATGTCTGCTGTCGTTGTGTTCTTGGTCAAGACACTTAACCCCACATTGCCTGAAGCCCCTGGGGGGGGGGGGGGGGAATTAATGAATAGATGAATATTTGACTTTGAAATCAAGGATGATGTTGTCGTTACTAATTCTACTTCTAGTCCTTCACTTTTTTAACGTACTGTGATTATGTTTTGAGTTGTGTATGAACAGTGCCATACAAATAACATTGGCCTCACCTCGTCCTCCACGGTGGCCGGACCCTTAGACCTGAGTCTCAGAGTGGCTCGTCCTGATCCGATCTTACTCTCGGTGGGTTTGGCTCCTTTTGACCGCGGCTCCAGCATTTCTGATCCAAAAGAATAAAAAGAATGACAATATTGATACAAACTGTTATTTTAGACTCATGTTTTTATATAATCACCAAATATCTACACACAATAAAACAGAGTTAGTTTAAGTCTAACTGTTGCAGAACAAGGATCAATTTCTAATTTTATAATGAATTTATTTCTGTTTCGCACAAGACCAGCAGTCGTCTGGAGGAGCATCACAGAGTTCCAGATTCGCCAAGATCTAGAAATGTTTAAAAAGGTCCATAAATGTCCCGCATCATTCCCTGTCCTTAGACCCAGGACTGAGGCTGTAGACCCAGGACTGAGGCTGTAGACCCAGGACTGAGGCTGTAGACCCAGGACTGAGGCTGTAGACCCAGGACTGAGGCTGTAGATCCAGGACTAAGGCTGCAGATCCAGGACTGAGGCTGTAGACCCAGGACTGAGGCTGTAGATCCAGGGCTGAGGCTGTAGATCCAGGACTAAGGCTGCAGCTCCAGGGCTGAGGCTGTAGATCCAGGACTGAGGCTGTAGACCCAGGACTGAGGCTGTAGATCCAGGGCTGAGGCTGTAGATCCAGGACCAAGGCTGCAGATCCAGGGCTGAGGCTGTAGATCCAGGACTGAGGCTGTAGATCCAGGGCTGAGGCTGTAGATCCAGGACTGAGGCTGTAGACCCAGGACTGAGGCTGTAGATCCAGGGCTGAGGCTGTAGATCCAGGACTGAGGCTGTAGATCCAGGTCTGAGGCTGTAGATCCAGGACTGAGGCTGTAGATCCAGGGCTGAGGCTGTAGATCCAGGACTGAGGCTGTAGATCCAGGGCTGAGGCTGTAGATCCAGGACTGAGGCTGTAGACCCAGGACTGAGGCTGTAGATCCAGGGCTGAGGCTGTAGATCCAGGACTGAGGCTGTAGACCCAGGACTGAGGCTGTAGACCCAGGACTGAGGCTGTAGATCCAGGACTAAGGCTGCAGATCCAGGGCTGAGGCTGTAGATCCAGGACTGAGGCTGTAGATCCAGGGCTGAGGCTGTAGATCCAGGACTGAGGCTGTAGACCCAGGACTGAGGCTGTAGATCCAGGGCTGAGGCTGTAGATCCAGGACTGAGGCTGTAGATCCAGGGCTGAGGCTGTAGATCCAGGACTGAGGCTGTAGACCCAGGACTGAGGCTGTAGACCCAGGACTGAGGCTGTAGACCCAGGACTGAGGCTGTAGACCCAGGACTGAGGCTGTAGATCCAGGACTGAGGCTGTAGATCCAGGGCTGAGGCTGTAGACCCAGGGCTGAGGCTGTAGACCCAGGGCTGAGGCTGTAGACCCAGGGCTGAGGCTGTAGACCCAGGGCTGAGGCTGTAGACCCAGGACTCAGGCTGCAGATCCAGGACCAAGTAGATCCAGGACTGAGGCTGCAGACCCAGGACCAAGTAGATCCAGGACTGAGGCTGTAGACCCAGGACTGAGGCTGTAGACCCAGGGCTGAGGCTGTAGACCCAGGGCTGAGGCTGTAGACCCAGGACTCAGGCAGCAGATCCAGGACCAAGTAGATCCAGGACTGAGGCTGCAGATCCAGGACCAAGTAGATCCAGGACTGAGGCTGCAGACCCAGGACCAAGTAGATCCAGGACTGAGGCTGCAGACCCAGGACTGAGGCTGTAGACCCAGGACTGAGGCTGCAGATCCAGGACTGAGGCTGCAGATCCAGGGCTCAGGCTGAACTGAACTTCAATTTCTGTTTGCAAAGAACTAAAACAATATCAGTCTTTGAGATGAATCTTACAGCCCTTCCCCCTTCACTACAACATGTGACCTGTGCATATATTTAAGCCAGATCCAGTCCAAAGTCCAAAGACGACGGTTAGTGGGACTCACCAAAGGCCTTCATGGGCTCCACCAGTTTGAGGGTGAAGGTCTTGCTCCGGGGCAGGTCCTTGAGCATGCGGGCCACTTCGTAATGTCGGATCCCCACCACGTTCTTGTCGTTGATGCACTCGATGTGATCCCCAACACTGATCACCTTCACCCCGTCCACCACGCTGCCCTCTTTGATGCGCTGGAGACACACGAGATTAAGATTAAGATTAAGAGATGCTTTATTCGTCCCACAGTGGGGAAATGTCAGTGTTGCATCACAGGTTACAGAACAGTTGGAAAGAGGAGCACACGGCACAAGAAAAAGTAACAAAAACTCCAGTGTCGAATAACAAGTATAAAATCTCTATCTTGAATATAATATCAATTTTTAAAAAACTACATCAACAACTTCTAACATAGATTTTTTACTATTTCTCTGGTCTTTATGTGTGTTAATGTTTGTGGGTTTGTGTGTGTCTGATGTGTGTAGCGCTAACATAACAGTTTACAGTTTCCTTTGTTTAAAGTCAGAAGAAAACTTTCGTGGCTTTGTCTGCACCGTGGTGATTAGTTCAGAGGACGGGTCTCTCTCGGGTCTCTCTCGGGTCTCTCTCGGGTCTCTCTCGGGTCTCTCTCGGGTCTCTCTCGGGTCTCTCTCGGGTCTCTCTCGGGTCTCTCTCGGGTCTCTCTCGGGTCTCTCTCGGGTCTCTCTCGGGTCTCTCTCGGGTCTCTCTCGGGTCTCTCTCGGGTCTCTCTCTGGTCTCTCTCTGGTCTCTCTCTGGTCTCTCTCTGGTCTCTCTCTGGTCTCTCTCTGGTCTCTCTCGGGTCTCTCTCGGGTCTCTCTCGGGTCTCTCTCGGGTCTCTCTCGGGTCTCTCTCGGGTCTCTCTCGGGTCTCTCTCGGGTCTCTCTCGGGTCTCTCTCGGGTCTCTCTCGGGTCTCTCTCTGGTCTCTCTCTGGTCTCTCTCTGGTCTCTCTCTGGTCTCTCTAGCGTCTTTCTCTAGCGTGTCTCTCTAGCATCTCTCTCTGGTCTCTCTCTCTCTCTCTGGTCTCTCTTGCTCTCTCTCTCTCCATCTCCATTCTCACTCTAGACTCACTCTCTATGGTATCACTCTCTCTGGTCTCTTTCTGTGTGGTCTCTACCTCTGGTCTCTCTCTCTGGTCTCTCTCTGGTTTCTCTCTGTGGTCTCTCTCTCGCTCTGGTTTATTTCTGTCTCTCTCGCTGGTTGCTACCTCTAGTCTCTCTCTGCTCTCTCTCGTCTCTCTCTGCTCTCTCCCTTGGGTCTCTCTCTGCTCTCTTTCGGCTCTCTCTCTGCTCTCTCTCTTGTCCTCCTGGCGGATCTGACCTTGATGAAAGCGAAGCCGGATCCGTTGTCGGTGATGGTCAGGCCCAGAGCGTCCTCACACTTGTAGACCTCCACCTCCTTCTTGAGTCCTCGGACGTGGGCGAAGATGAAGTCCTCCAGCCCGATCTGACCTCCCAGCAGCTTGTCCATGTCGATCTTATGGGTGTTCAGAGTGCAGAACAGAATCTGGACCAGGAGAGAGGGGCACGGCAGAGGTTAGCATCAGCAAGAAGAAAAGGGCACAAGACTGAGAGAGCAGAGAGAGAGAGAGCAGTGAGAGAAAGAGAACAGAAAGAGAGAGAGAGCAGAGAGAGGAAGGACACATATGTTACCATAAGTGAGAAGCAAATTTTAGGGAAAGAAACCAGAGACGGACCATAGAGACCAGAGAGAGAGACAAGAGAGAGACCAGAGAGAGAGACCTGAGGGAGAGTGAGTTCAGAGTTTGTTTACAGCAGTTTTTTACAACAGAGACCAGAGGCTCTGGTCTCTCTCTGGTCTCTCTCTCTGGTCTCTCTCTCTGGTCTCTCTTTCTGGTCTCTCTTTCTGGTCTCTCTCTCTGGTCTCTCTCTCTGGTCTCTCTCTCTGGTGTACTCTCTGGTGTACTCTTTTACAACACAACACGCTCTCACCTGTTCCCATGGTAACAGGAAACGAAGAAACGGTAAAATAACCACCAACTTTCCTAACGTGTGTCTCTCTTTACAGCCTACAACTATTATCATAGACTATTGGATACAGAGGGAAGGACAAGAGTAAAATCCTGAACCCAAAGAGCAGCGATAGATCTCATCTACTCCTGTGAGTCCGCAATCAAACGTCTGCACACAGCAGACGTTAGCAAATCATACAAGAGTGAGAGAGAGCGAGAGAGAGAAAGAGACCAGAGAGAGAGAGGGAGCGGGAGCAGAGAGAGCTAGAGCGAGAGAGAGAGAAACAAACTTCTGCCAAGTGAAATTCAGGAAGTCTGTCTGAAAGCCTTGAGAGAAACCAGTCGGATATTGACTCAGGCGAAGGGCCATGGCTCACATTATGTTTTGCATCTTGTATTGTGTGAAAGTGTGGTCCAGAGGCTCATGATCCAGAGGCTCATGGTCCAGAGGCTCATGGTCCAGAGGCTCATGGTCCAGAGGCTCATGGTCCAGAGGCTCATGGTCCAGAGGCTCATGTTCCAGAGGCTCATGTTCAAGAGGCTCATGGTCAAGGTGACTCTTAAAACACATTTAAATAAGATTTAAATGCTCTGGTCTCTCGCTCTCTGGGCTCTCTCTCTGGTCTCTCTTTTTCTCCCTCTCTCCATCTCTCTCCCTCCATCTCTCTTTCTCTCTCCCTCGTTTCTCTCTCTGTCTCTCCCTCCCCTCTCCCCCCCCTCTCTCTCCCCCTCTCTCTGTGTCTCTCTCTCTGGTCTCTCTCTTTCTCCCTCTCTCCATCTCTCTCCCTCCATCTCTCTTTCTCTCTCTGTCTCTCCCTCCCCTCTCTCTCCCCCTATCTCTGTGTCTCTCTCTCTGGTCAAATGTGGTTGAGCAGGTAAGCCACTAAAAGCCTTTACATTTTTAAGCAGCAGGTGCAGTAATAATAGTAGTAGTAACATTAGTAGTAGTAGTAGTAGTAGTAATAGTAATAGTAGCAGTGACTAAGTTTGAACCAGGAAAAGTCCTGCTGAACTATTGAACATGTATCTCATGGTAGGAGAACCGGAGCACCTGGAGGAAATCGTCCCATAGACTTAATGCAGAGCCTGTTACAAACCCCTTCAGAACGACGTGAGAACAGAGCAGTAAACAACACTTTACTCAGAGTACTCAGAGTACTCAGAGTGAAGTGCCGGGTCAGCGCTGGTCAGCTCCTCTCTGCTCTAATCATTCACAGAAACAGAACTTCAAGTGGAGTTTGGAAAATATTTATAGTTTATGACTTTCTGGTCGGCCATAAACTCAATGAGATTAGATTTCACTTTATAATTAATCTTGAGGACAAACACCAGGAAACTGTCTGGCTCTGGGATTACAAATCTTCTAAATCCTTAAACAACAAACATTTAGAACCAATAAAAACACAAAAGACTGAATGTTAAAGAGGAAACACTGTCGCTCTTTTATAAGAATATTGCCTTTTCTCATCGGCAAAAATAAAATCTGCGCTTTTCTCGATCGACTGAATCTAATCTAATCTAAAAGAATGGGTAAAATGTGTTGAAATGTTGCCGTAGATTAAATATATGTTTTGTCTGATATCCGTAGTATATGGTTTCCGTAGCGACAGCCTTGGCTCAGACCGAGGCATATCCCAAACATTACACCATCGTGGGGTGAGGTTTCTGACTGAGTGTGTGTGTGGGACTGTCGTGGGGTGAGGTTTCTGACTGAGTGTGTGTGTGGGACTGTCATAGGGTGAGGTTTCTGACTGAGTGTGTGTGTGGGACTGTCGTGGGGTGAGGTTTCTGACTGAGTGTGTGTGTGGGACTGTCATGGGGTGAGGTTTCTGACTGAGTGTGTGTGTGGGACTGTCGTGGGGTGAGGTTTCTGACTGAGTGTGTGTGTGGGACTGTCGTGGGGTGAGGTTTCTGACTGAGTGTGTGTGTGGGACCATCGTGGGGTGAGGTTTCTGACTGAGTGTGTGTGGGACCATCGTGGGGTGAGGTTTCTGACTGAGTGTGTGTGGGACCGTCGTGGGGTGAGGTTTCTGACTGAGTGTGTGTGTGGGATCATCTGCAGCCTCTGTAGACTATGTGCAAATACAGAAACCACACGTCTGTCTCTGAGGATACACACAAGTTTCACAACATGGAAGTCTCTCTAATCCCTCTGTCTGGTCTCTCTCTGGTCTCTCTCGCTGGTCTCTCTCTCTGGTCTCTCTCTCTGGTCTCTCTCTCTGGTCTCTCTCTCTGGTCTCTCTCTCTGGTCTCTCTCTGGTCTCTCTCTGGTCTCTCTCTGGTCTCTCTCTGGTCTCTCTCTCTAGTCTCTCGCCGTAGTCTCTCCCTGGTCTCTCTCTGGTCTCTCTCTCCCTGGTCTCTCTCTCTCTCTGGTCTCTCTCTCTCTGGTCTCTCTCTCTCTGGTCTCTCTCTCTGGTTCTCTGAGCTTCTCACATGGTCTGGGTCTGATCCATAGTGGATGAATTTCAGAAGGCAGGGCCTTGTAAAAAAAATCCTCGTATGTGATTGGATAAACCACTTGTCTGTTATCTTGAATGACGTGTTCCTTCAACCACTCACATCGAAGCACCCAGAATTATTTTTCGGCTAAAAACGTAATGTAATCAACTTGATCATGACTTTGTTTATTGTCTTTCTGTTTATTCATTACCTACAAGTCTCTTGGAAAAAAGTATGCGGGAAACCACCCAACCTGGCAACCCCACTGCGTAGTGTTGTAACAGGAACACTGAACTAGTGCCTAAACCAAACTTTACACGGACATTTGACTCTTAAAACACACATATAACAACATAGAACCATCAACATGGAACCATCAACATGGAACCATCAACATAGAACCATCAACATAGAACCATCAACATAGAACCATCAACATGGAACCATCAACATAGAACCATCAACATGGAACCATCAACATGGAACCATCAACATGGAACCATCAACATGGAACCATCAACATAGAACCATCAACATAGAACCATCAACATCTCGCCTCAAATTGCATTAAAAGTGACATCCGTGTCTGATCTCCTATGAGCTCGATCCCAGACCCGTGTGTGTGAAACGAAACGCCTCTGGTGGAGCATGGCGGAACTACAAGTGTCTGGACAGAGCCAGGCTAGATGACCACTGTCCATCCATCCATCCATCCATTTTCTTCCGCTTCATCCGTTGCCGGGTCGCGGGGGCAGCAGTCTAAGCAGAGACGCCCAGACTTCCCTATCCACACACACCTCCTCCAGCTCGTCCGGGGGGACCCCAAGGCGTTCCCAGGCCAGCTGAGAGACATAGTCCCTCCAGCGTGTCCTGGGTCTTCCCCGGGGCCTCCTCCCGGTGGGACATGCCCGGAACACCTCCCCAGGGAGGCGTCCAGGAGGCATCCGGAACAGATGCCCGAGCCACCTCAACTGGTTCCTCTCGACGTGGAGTAGCAGCAGCTCTACTCCGAGCTCCTCCCGTGTGACTGAGCTCCTCACCCTATCTCTAAGGGAGCGCCCAGCCACTCTGCGGAGGAAGCTCATTTCGACCGCTTGTATCCGCGATCTCGTTCTTTCGGTTATTACCCAAAGCTCATGACCATAGGTGAGGGAGGGGACGAAGATTGACCGGTAAATCAAGAGCTTTGCCTTTCGGCTCAGCTCCCTCTTTACCACAACGGTCCGATACAGCTCTGACTGCAGACGCTGCTCCCTCTTTACCACAACGGTCCGATACAGCGACCGCATCACTGCGCACGCTGCACCGATCCGCCTGTCCCCCTGGACTGCCACCTTAACGTGGTGGGGGAGTTTGAGTACTCGGATGATCCTGGGAGCTATGCTGTCTGGGGCTTCATGCCCCTGGTAGGGTCTCCCATGGCAGACAGGTCTCAGGTGACGAGTCAGACGAAGAGCAGTCAGAAGCCAACATGGACAGCACGAAAAGAAGAACCGTGACGTCGCCCGGCATGGCGCAGCCGGGGCCCCACCCTGGAGCCAGGCCTGGGGTCGGGGCTCGAATATGAGCGCCTGGTGGCCGGGCCTTAGCCCACGGGGCCCAGCCGGGCTCAGCCCGAAAGGACGACGTGGGCAGTCCCTCCTGTGGGCCCACCACCTGCAGAGGGGTCCGTGGTGGCGCGGTGCAGAGAGGACTGGGCAGCAGTCGAAGGCGGAGACCTCGGTGACCCAGTCCACACACCCATGACCACTGTCCATAAATGTAAATAAATGTCCTTTAATCCAGTCCAGTCTTAAATCTAAATCAGTATTTCTGTAATCCGGGGTTATTGTGGTCCCAGAGTGCGCTGACAACAAAACAGCCGCAAAAACAAAACCATGGAAATATTCAAAGAGGACACAAATTCTGCTGCAGCCACACCCAGCCACAGCCGCCCTGACTGCAGCCACACAGGGCGGAGACAGGTGAGTCAGGGAGAGACAGGGGGAGACAGGGGGAGACAGGTGGAGTCAGGGAGAGACAGGGGGAGACAGGGAGAGACAGGGGGAGACAGGTGGAGTCAGGGAGAGACAGGGGGAGTCAGGGGGAGACAGGG